TATGTTTCATTGAACTTTGCTGTGAATGCAATTTGAGAAGATGAGCATAAATCTGGATAAGAACATTCAAAAACCATGAAACCGCGAAATATTTTGACAAACTAAGGAAAACTCTTAAAGTCCCACCTTCATTCTGAGCGTCTATACAACAATTTTCAAATGTTTCGTTGAACCTTACTGCATATGGAGTTTGACAAAAGGCAAATAAATCGAACAAAAATATTTGAAAATTATAAATACAAGTATACTGATGAAAATTTGTCATAAAATCCACTTTGCATGGTGGACTTACGAATAACCATGAAACCGTGAAATATTTTGGCAAACTAAGGAAAACTCTTGAAGTCCCACCTTCATTCTGAGCGTCTATACAACAATTTTCAAATGTTTCGTTGACCCTTACTGCATATGGAGTTTGACAAAAGGCAAATAAATCGAACAAAAATATTTGAAAATTATGAATACAGGTATACTGATGAAAGTTTGTCATAAAATCCACTTTGCATGGTGGACTTACGAATAATATTGAAATTTACTGCATATGCAGGTGAGAAACTGAGAAGCAAATTTTTTATGGTATTCCTTTGAAGTTTTCGATTGAAGTGAGCTGACTTTTTTTTATTTCATTTTCAATGATGTCACTTTCGGTAAAGTTTTATTTTTTCTGGTCAGAACAATTCAAGGGTGTTCAAAGTATACTTTAAGCTATTTCAATCGAAAAACCGATACTTTTTTGCTTTTTTGCAAAACGAATTTCATGTTGATTGAAATCAACAACTCCAAGGAACATTTTCCCGTACCTCATTCGTAGGAGTAAGATCCGGAATACTTCTGCTTCGACTTTCCTTGCTCGTCCAGTATTATTGTCAACATTTGACGACAATGATTGATTTATTTTTAAACTTTGTAATTTTTTATTAAAAGAATTCAATCATCATTTTCAGGATTGTTTTAGAATTAATTTGTATAAAAGATAAACAGTTTGTTTTCAGAAAATGTTTTTTTACTACTGTATTATAGCTATTAATAAATTTATTTTATTAGACAAGTATAGACTTTTATTATATAGAGTAGTGGACTTATGGGGTGTCATATTAATAATAATAAATGTAATTTATTGGTGAATACCAAAGAGTCATCGACCGAAGTCCTTCTTCAGCCAGTGCACAATTTTTAAATATTTGCAGTGATTTTTACATATGCTTACATAATATATACATAATACATTATATTTCTGACAAAAAAAATATTACAGTGATTTTATGTTTTTCCAAATAGTTTTTCCGGGTATTTGAATTTGGATGGTTGTCCTTCAGCACTTTCCCTACATAAGGATCTCTCCAAGTTAGTTTCATTTTTGGCAAAGCGGTTTCCTAGGTCTGATAGTTTCTTCTTTATAGGTTTCACTTTTGTAGTTCTATGAAGCAGTGC